TACGTTTCAAGTTGTGTCTTCACTGACATTTACCTTAATGTAAAAGATTACAAGTCATTGTTAAACATTAGAGAATCCATTTTAGAATGGGAATTCCCCCCTTTGTCCCTGTCTGAGACTCCAGCGAGAGTCACCTGGGGCATGTCTCTGCTCTGTACACGCCTGCACCACAGTTCCAGCACATCTGGGTGGCACCCAAACATGCGTGGCCTCAGCAAGTTCCCTGGGAGAGTGTGAGGCATCCACGCAGGCAGGACCGCCCGTGGCATGATCAAGATGCAAACACAAGATGAAAATTCCCGTGTGCCATGCTCTCCTCCAGCTGTGTCCCTCGGGGCCCAGCGGGGAAGAGAAGCCACTCAGAGAGTGACGGTCATCAGAAGACTGAGAACTGAGAGCTAGTGACAAAAAGGATGGAAAAGTCAAGAACAATGTGTTGATGTGAAGGGACAAACCTGGTAAATGAAACCTGGGAGCCACTGCCCTCTCTCCCCTGGAAAGCAGGGGCAGGAGAAGAGGGGGAACAAAAGGGAAGGGTGGTGATTTCAGAGTGAGTCACCTGGCAGGGGTGAGGCCACTGTGGACCACGAGGGGACCCATCCTGGACTACAGGGGGGGACACAGCCACGGAGACCCGATAAAGGACTGATAAAGGATCAATCCTCAGACTTCTCCATTCTCCCCATTAGACAGACACAGCAGGAAACCAGAAGCCTGGGAAGCAGAGATGAGCATGGGTTCCCTGAGATGCAGAGCAGAGGCCACCCACCCAGCTGCCCATCAGCCGTGGTCAACCGAGATTGTACCTTAGCCGGCTATTTGGCCACACTAGCCATCACTGTTAGCCTTTATGTAGAAGAACATGGGGAGTGTAAAAACAGCAGCTATTTTACCAGCTGAGCCATCTCAGCAGTTAAGAGTCCCGGCTACTCTTGCAGAGGACCCAGACTCGATTCCTAGCACCCACACAGTGGCTCACAACCATCTGTAATCCCAGCTCCAGGGACTCTGACACTGAAGCTGCCTTCTGGACTCCTTGGGCACCCGGCATGCATGTAGCACAGACAGGCATGCAGGCAAAACACACACACACACACACACACACACACACACACACACACATATATATATATATATAATCGAATTAGTTAGAAGTGGAAAACAACAACTGTTATCAACTTTAAATTGACTCTCTAAAGCTCCTGTGCTGTCCTACAGTAGCTTTGCTCTTTACTGAGAAAGGAAACATACTTCCCCAGAACAAAGGTTTGCTTTCTTAGTTATTACGTTAGTTGAGGTTCTCATTGCTGTGACTGAATGCCTCACGGAAGCAACTTCCAGGAGAAGATTGCTTCTCTCAGGATTTCAGAGGGTTTACTGTCTGTCACGGTGGAGAAGGCACTGCGGGTGTGCTCTGTTGTGTTCTTTCCATGGTAGCAGGACTATGGAAGCCTGGGCTGTGTTGTACCATCTGAGAGGTCTCCCCCGTGGTCTATTTCTTCCAGCTGGGCTTCATTTTCCAGAGGGTCCACAATCTCCCAAAATAACAATACTGAGGACCAAACACTCAAAATGTGAGTGAAGAGGAGAGGGGAAACAGGCTGGAAGAACTTCCGATTCAAACCACTGCAATCACCTTCCAAGGCAGTCTTTACACTGTGTGTTCACACCTTCATTCACCTTCCAAGGCAGCCTTCACACTGTGTGTTCACACCTTCATTCACCTTCCAAGGCAACCTTCACACTGTGTGTTCACACCTTCATTCACCTTCCAAAGGCAGTCTTCACACAGTGTGTTCACACCTTCATTCGCCTTCCAAGACAGCCTTCACACTGTGTGTTCACACCTTCATTTACCTTCCAAGGCAGCCTTCACACTGTGTGTTCACACCTTCATTCACTTTCAAAAACAGCCTTTACACTGTGTGTTCACACCCTCATTCACCTTCCAAGGCAGCCTTCACACAGTGTGTTCACACCTTCATTCACCTTCCAAGGCAGTCTTCACACTGTGTATTCACTGTGGAGGCCCAAAAATGTGAGTCTATTTCCACCTTGTCTGAAGGTCAGAGTTTGTTCAAAGCTGTTGACAACAAGTTTGGCTACACTTCCTGACCTAGGGTGTGGTTACTTGGTCCTTTTGACATTAAGATGGCCCATGCAGGTAGATCCACACCCCTACACTCCCTGACCAAGAGTCAGGATATTCAAGCATACTTCTGCTCCTTCTTTTGAAATAGGAGGTTTGACCTTGGGAGTGGCAGCCTTCAGGATACTTGGCCTAGGGTGGGTTCAAGGCCTACTCAACAGAATGCTAATGAGTTGATGTCTCAAGTTTAGAAGCAAGTAGCTGTTCTAGTTGTTCTTTGCATCATGTTAAAGCCGTCTTTTGTCTGTTTCCCCCTGTTGCATTGGGGTATAAAAGTATATGGAAAATTAAACACAGATGACTTCAGGATTGACTGAAACTCCCTCCCAATACTATCCTGATGTGGGATTTACCATTCCCAAATATTGTTTGTAAATGTTTCTTTACATTTAAAGGGGGATATGCCATAGAGATTTGTATTGGTATGGATCTTGGTTTATTAATACAAATTTAAGGTCAATTTTGTTATTTGCATATGTATTTCTGATCTTGATTAAGGTGTGATTGTGTAGTTTATTTTTAAAATGTAATGTATAACTTAGAAATATAGGTTACTAGATCGTCATCATAATAGTCAAGATTGTAGTCATGTTAGTTAAGGTTACTAGATAGTCATCATAATAGTCAAGATTGTAGTCATGTTAGTTAAGGTTACTAGATAGTCATCATAATAGTCAAGATTGTAGTCATGTTAGTTAAGGTTACTAGATAGTCATCATAATAGTCAAGATTGTAGTCATATTAGTTAAGGTTACTAGATAGTCATCATAATAGTCAAGATTGTAGTCATGTTAGTTAAGGTTACTAGATAGTCATCATAATAGTCAAGATTGTAGTCATGTTAGTTAAGGTTACTAGATAGTCATCATAATAGTCAAGATTGTAGTCATGTTAGTTAAGGTTACTAGATAGTCATCATAATAGTCAAGATTGTAGTCATGTTAGTTAAGGTTACTAGATAGTCATCATAATAGTCAAGATTGTAGTCATGTTAGTTAAGGTTACTAGATAGTCATCATAATAGTCAAGATTGTAGTCATGTTAGTTAAGGTTACTAGATAGTCATCATAATAGTCAAGATTGTAGTCATGTTAGTTAAGGTTACTAGATAGTCATCATAATAGTCAAGATTGTAGTCATGTTAGTTAAGGTTACTAGATAGTCATCATAATAGTCAAGATTGTAGTCATGTTAGTTAAGGTTACTAGATAGTCATCATAATAGTCAAGATTGTAGTCATGGTAGTTATGTTTTCTACCCTGGTAAGTGGTATTTTTGTCCAAGATGTCTCCAACAATTCACACCTTCGTCCATTCATCTTCCAAAGAAGCCTTCAAACTATACATTCACACCATCCAATCACCCATACTTTTCCACAAACCATGCAAGGTCACAGGCACCAGAGGATAGCGAAGAAAATCAGCCAAATCTCCTACCTTGAATCCTTAAACATTGGCAGAACTGTGAACGGCCACCCTAGTATGGGCTGAATCAAACATATAGGAGGCTGGAGTGGCCAAGTTAGTGCAAAAACAGTCACAGAAAAAGACACAGTTGGTGTCAAAAAGCGTGACAGCTGGAAAAGGCACGAAATTCAAAAACCAGTGACGTTACAAAGCCCGCGAGAAATATTTCCAGCCAAGATGGCACTGATCAGAAGGGAGCGGGGAGGAGATAGACTTATTTACAGGAAGATGATTGGAGTTAGGGATGGGGTAAGATGACATAAAGCACTTGGTGCCCTTGTGGTCCCCATTAGGGGCCATAGGAGCTATGGATCATGCAGATGTGACTGCTGATGTGATTGGCTAATTCCCCTTCCGCTTCTTCTGGGATTCGTGGGTTTTTGCTTTATAAGTTACATGCTGTAAGGAAGTAAACAAGTTCCTGCTTGGCTCGACTGTCTGATTGTCTCCAGGACCCCAGGGTCTAGCACATCCCCTCCTCAGCCAGGGCCTGTATCAGGTGGCTGGCTCAATTCTTTAGCGGGGGTGTAGAGAAGGGACCCCCCACACCACAAGAAGTACATTTCTTTGTTCTCTTCTTCCTCATATATGTGGGTTGTGGGGCTTGAACTCGGGACTTCAGGCTTGCATTTTTGAATGGCAAGCTCCTTTACTGGCTGAGGCATCTCACTGGTCCCATAAAAGACACAATTCTAAAGGAAGGGGCATGGAAAAGTTGCACATGGTCCAAGACATGTGTATGAGGAACCTATCTATTATGTGCCGAATCACAGAGTGAGTCTGTAAAGAGGTCTTTTGTTTTTTTTTTTTTGTTTGTTTGTTTTTTGTTTTTTGGTTTTTCGAGACAGGGTTTCTCTGTGGTCTTGGAGCCTGTCCTGGAACTAGCTCTTGTAGACCAGGCTGGTCTCGAACTCACAGAGATTCGCCTGCCTCTGCCTCCCGAGTGCTGGGATTAAAGGCGTGCGCCACCACCGCCCGGCTGAGGTCTTTTGTTTTCAAATGCTTCGTAGGGATTTATTGCAAGGGTGGCAAGGCTTAACACGCAAGCATTGAACAGACTGAGAGTCAAAGCTTTAGTTTGAAAAAGGTCCTTTGCTTTTACATATGAATGCAGGCTCCGTGGTGGTTTTGGGAGGACCCACAATCTCCTGGCATCTGCGGCAGAATGAGGGTCCCAAGTAGAGCGAGGTGCAAAGGTGCAGGGTGGCCACAGAGCCCCCAGACTGCCTGGGGTGAAGTGGTGGAATCCGGACCCGGGGTCTCAGGTCCCTTCTTGTGTCCCCGGGAGAGCACAATATGAGAACCCGGCTGGGCGCACCGGGCCAGCGCCCTCTAGGCAGCGGAAGTGGCGCGGACTGTACATCCGTCCCCGCCTCAGAGTTGGGAGCAGACAGGCAGAGTTGGGGGGGTGTGCGGGGAAAAAAATGCAAGTGTAAAGTCTTTGAAGCATGTAGGGCGACCCGGGGGCTCCCAGAAACGGCACCTCAGGTCTGAGGCCATGAACGCGAGCGGCGAGGGCGACAGCTTCTCAGGGTCGGTGCAAAGTAAGTGCTGGGTGGATGCCCGCCGCCGGGCGAGCAGGCCCCGTGTATCTGGGATCCGGGTGACGGCGCACCTTGCATACCCTCATCCCCGACCCCGAGAGAGGCTGGGCTGGGAGCAGAACCCCTGTAACACCCCCAGGGAGGCATGGTCCGGGAAGGCCATGCCTTGCAGAGACCATCACCACCTTCCCCGCCCGCCTGGCAGAGTTTGGGGTGTAGCGGAGAGAAAAAGAAAGTGGGGTGACCCGGGCAGACAGGTAGTGAAAACTTCTGCCTCTGTGGACAGGTTTGTAAAGCTCTCCCCAGCACTCCGGGTGTGGGGAGGGGGGGGGGGGAAATAGGGAGGACCAGGTTGTGGTAGCTTGCTCTGAGTTTCGTGTTCTCTTATTTCCTGGCATTGATTTTACCCCCTCTAAGTTCTTAGTATGTCCGTACGCCTTTGTTTCCCAAAGTATGGGCCAGGGACTGAACCGAGGCCACCACCTGGAGCGCCAGCATGTGTTTAAAACAAGGCGGCTGGGTCCGGCCCCCCCAGGTCTCCGGGGGTGGGGCCAGAATCTGAGGTCTTCCCTGAAGCACCGGAAGTTTGAAAAGCCCTGGCCCCGGTTTGCAGACACCTGGCTCAGTTTGCTAACTGCTGTTCTTAGAGCCATTGATTCCCAAACTTGCTTGCGTGTGCCCTACATGACGTATAAAACAGAGAGGTTTCACTGAACCCCAGTCCCCACCCCATCATGTCTCAGTGTCTCCGGGTACCATGCACTTTAAAAGGGACGACCCCACCACGTGACCTGGTTTGGCGTTAGAATTGGGCCCCCTTTCAGGCATTAGCCCTTTTACTCTTTGGTGGCCCTAAGAAGAGACCTGTCTTGCCCTCCTCATTTTGCAGACTAAAAACCCAGGGCTAAAGTCAATGTTAATAGTGTCAGTTTAAAGATGCTAAGAAAAGTCCCCGTTGTGACTTACTTCTTTCGTGAGTACCAGAAGCATAACTTAGTACCGGAAACTGCTTCCTCCTGGACACCAATACTAGTCCACCACGAAGACAACCTTAGCTGAGCAAATATGGCTTCATTCTCACCGTTTCCCTAGTACTGGGGCTGTCCCTGTGGTCACCTTGTTCCTGGCATCATCTGTTAATTTCTGAGGCATTCTGCAAGGTGACTTCTAAAGTGTCGCTCCCCCCAGCATCACTTTCCCTGGGACGTCGACCACAGACACCTCAGGCAAATGCCTTGTCTTAGTCCTGAAGGAAACTGGACAGAATCGAAATAGCTTATAATTTTCAGAAAATTGCATGGTACGGGCACTGTGTTCTACAAATGTAGTCTTGTAATATTTAACTTGACTAGTTACAGACATTATTATGTGATACATGGATACCATGGAGTGACATGTTCCCACTAAGCAATTACATGTATAAAGAATTTTCATGCTTGGTATTATATAGGGGAAAGGTTAGCTTCACAATAGAGTGGAAAAAAATGAATTTTTAAGCATAAATAGAAAATGTGTTTGTAATGTCCATGAAAGTACAAGTGGATAATATTATGAGGGTTTTTCTGCCAGTTCTTACTATTCCAGATTTTATTCTGTGCGAGTTTTATTATAATGCAAGAGAAAAATTTTAAGTTTTTATTTCTATTTTTAATTGTATGTGTACATAGGAATGGGTATGTGGTTTTCAGAGCCAGTGCTCGTGGAGGTCAGATCCCCTGGAGCCAACGTTGCTGGTTGTGTGCTAACGAGTGTGGGTTCTGAACTCAGATGCTCCATAAGCAGTAATACTACAGAGCCATCCCTACAACTCCGCAAAGGAAAAATTTAAGGATAAAAATTAAATTTCTCGTATTGAGACTTACTAATTAATTGTTATCTTGCCAGAAGAGGGCATCAGATTCCATTATCTAGATGGTTGTGAAACACCATGTGGGAATTGAACTCAGGACCTCTGGAAGAGCAGCCAGGGCTCTTTAACCACTGAGCCATCTCTCCAGCCCAATTGTTATCTTGTTTAACAAACGTTTATATAGTGCTTTCTTTCACTGTTGTTCTGAGACAGGGTCTAGGTGTTTCAAACTGGCCAAGGCCCACGAGGAGTCTTAAGACCCAGCCCTCCAGCCTCCACCTCTCTAGTGGCTGAGATTGCATTACTGGCCTGTGTGCCTCCATCAGCCACGCCATTTTTAGGAGGTGCTGGGGTTTGAACTTGGGGCCTCAGATATGCAAGGCGAGCCCTCTACCCACTGTACTACACGTGAAGCTATGTTACCTTCTAATATAGTATCAGGTACCATGCTAGTTGCTTTGAAGCTCTCAATACAGTTACTAACACTCACTCTCTCTCTCTCTCTCATTGCCATAAAAAAAAAAAAATGATGTCCCTGTTAGTTAAGAATGAATTTAGTCTGCAAGTGCCAGAAACCTGAACTGTACCATCCCAACTGATCTATTCTGGGGTTGCATTCAGAGACCAGGGAAGTGGGAGCAAGAATCAGGGATTTTGGCATTTTCTTCATAGTTATAAAGTGTCTGCTGATGTGTGAACATCGCGTCTGCATCAGCATCTTTAGGAAGAGGAAGCCACAGCTGGCCTTGCTCCCTTTGTGGTGTGTGTGCTGGAGGAGTCCGCACATCTGTCAGAGCACCATGGTGAACTAGTGGGTTTGTAGGTGATGAGGCATTTGGGACTGTGTGTTGGGATTGGGGCAGGACTTGGCCTCAGTCCCTGGGAAGGGCTAGGCAGTCCTACACATCAAATTAACTTTGTCTTTTAGTGGTTGTGTGTATGTGGATACACTGGTATACATCCTTGTGTGTGAGCATATGTGGAGGCCAGAGGACAATCTCTGATGTTGTTCCTCAGGTACCATTCCTTGGGTTTGAGACACTTGCCAAGTAGGCTTGGTTGGAAACCTAGCCAGCAAGCGTGGGGATCCCCCTGCCTCCTCCCCTATGCTGAGATTACAAACTCACACCCCACACCCAGCTCTTTACATGGGCTCTAGGGTTTGGACTCGGGGTCTCATGCTTGCAGGGCAAGCAATCTGTTTACTGCCTCCCCAGCTCTGAAAGAACTCTCTTGTAAAACACAATCCCCAAGCCCTCAGTGGTGCCTGTGAACAGTGCTGCATCATAGACCGTGGCTCCCATCTGGGGACACAGCTGCTATGACAGAATTTGGAGTAGGTTTCCAAGAAAAAAGGAGGGACATGACCATGTCTGCCTCCTGCCGTGATACTGGTCTGAAATCAATCTGTGATTTTTCCTTTGTCCCATGGAGTCCCCGGAGGCACCGCGGTCCTGGTAGAGCTGACACCGGACATCCACATCTGCGGTATCTGTAAGCAGCAGTTCAGCAACCTGGATGCCTTCGTAGCTCACAAGCAGAGCGGCTGCCAGCTGACCAGCACGCCGGTGACAGCCCCCAGCACGGTCCAGTTTGTGTCGGAGGAGACAGTGCCTGCCACCCAGACCCAGACCACCACAACGACCATCAGTTCGGAGACACAGACCATCACAGGTACACAGGGCGGGGGAGGGGAAGGATGGACAGAGGTGGCTGGCTGCACCCCCCACTTCTGTGGGACCTGTTTGGATGGATGGCCTGCCCAGGTCCTAGCCCCTCAATCACCGATGCGTTATTTTTAACCAGCACTGCTGGGAAGGTTTGGAGGCTTTTAGGTTTAAACCATGAGTGTGCATTGTGAGAAATGTCACGTGTGTAAGTAGACGGACGAAGGCCAAGTTTCTGAGCCAAACCTCCAGGTGCTGAGAAGCAGAATCTCGTAGATATTTGGGGTGGGTATGCATACGAGCCCTGCGTTGGCATCGTTTGTGTGATAGACAAACCTAAAGAATGTCTGGGGTCTTATCTTGGCTTGATTTGGCTGGTTTTGGGGAGACACAGATGTTCATTTAGAGATTAAAAAACAAAATAGCCAGGTGGTGGTGGCACATGCCTTTAATCCCAGCACTAGTGATGGAGGAGGGTCATCTGTCTATTTGTTACTTTCATTGGTTAATAAAGAAACTGCCTTGGCTTTTTGATAGGGCAAGATTTAGATAGGTGGAGTAGACAGAACAGAATGCTGGGAGAAAGAAAACATAGTTGGTCAGACTGCCATAGAGCCAGCTGCCAGGTCAGACATGCTGAATCTTTCCCGGTAAGCCACCACACAGATTATTACAAATGGGTTAGTCAAGATGTGAGAGTTAGCCAATAAGAGGCTAGAGATAATGGGCCAGGCAGTGTTTAAAAAGAATACAGTTTCCGTGTAATTATTTTGGGTAAAGCTAGCTGGCAGCCAGGCCCCGGGTGATGGGAAGCGGCCCGCAGCTCCTTACAACACACTAGGGAGGTAGAAGCAGGCGGATCTCTGTGAGTTCAAGCGTGGTCTACAGAGTGAGTTCCAAGACAACAGGTACACAGAGAAACCCTGTCTCAAACAACCAAAAAAAAGTAAGATACCACTCTCTGAGATGCTGGGTGCTCCAGGAATTAAATAATACATTTCTTGCTGATTGGACTGCCCTCCCCAGAGGGAGGGAAATATGAATGTAGCTGCAATGACATTACTTATTTTTACCCCAGAAATATAGGGTCTAAAAATGAGCATGTTGAGAAAAGGTTTGCAGCTTATGCATATAAACAGCCTTCCTATATAAAGAACGTCTAAAAACCAACAAGAGCAGAGTACCAGAAGCCAGTGGGAAAGTCAGTAGAGGACAGCCAAAGGGTGTGATGAACACATCTGGGCATGGTCCCTGAAGGAGGAGAGCAAATCAGGCTAAAACCGGGCGTGCAAATTCCTACATCCTGGATAGTCCTGTGATAGCTTTCAGATTTTAACGCTTAAATTTTAAATCTCTGTTTTAAAATTTACCGGAATACTAGGCAGAAAAAATGGCCCAGAGGGTAAAGCCGCCGCTAACGGCCTGGGGACTTGAGTTTGATCTCGGCAAAAGGAAAGAGTGCTCTCCCAGGGTGGTCTTCCGACCTCCGCCCACATACACTGTGATGTGTGTACGTGCGCTTACATAACGCACACACATAAATAAATGAGGAAGAACTAATTAATGAACTATGCCTAAATACTTGTAATAGGTCAGTCTCTAAGTGTTTATGCTGTAAAGCCTGATGGCAGATGAAGGGTGTTCGTTACAGTTTTTACTGTGGACAAAGTCAGTTTTATGTGTGACGTTCAGGGGAAAGGTGGGTAAAAGCATGTCAGACACCATACAGCGCAAAGTGCCCAAGCCTCAGAAAGAGGGGCCGTGTCTGTGAGAGAGCAGGGCAGGTGTGTGCAAATCTAACAGTGTTACACTGTTACAGGAAGCAAAATTCAATGAGAGCCTGAAGAGGGTGGCCGTTAAGGCCCGGCACAGACTTTGGAAAACTGGAAAAACCACCCACAAAGCAGCTCTTCTTTGGGTCCGGCCAGTTCTGTGTTTTGATTTTTTAGTTGCAAAAAAAAAAAAAAGATATGAATTTTCCTAATTAGGTTAAATTATGTTTGTGTGTGTGTGCCAGCAACTTTAGAGTTGATTCTCTCTACCAGGTGAGCGCTGGGAATCGAGCTCAGGTGGTCAGACTTGGCAGCAAACACCTTTACCAGCTGAGCCATCTCAACAGCCCAAATGTTCTCGGTCTCAGCTCCAAGATCTACTGGAGCCAACGGTCAGCCAACTTCCCACTTTTATAAATTATTCATGTGCTGTCTAAAATTTGAGACCTGAGGCTGGAGAGCACTGGCTGCTCTTGCAGAGGACCTGGGTTCAGTTCTCAGCCCCCACATGGTGGCTCAAAACATCTGTAACTAGTTCCAGGGGATCAAGTTCCCTCCCTCTGACTCTGAGAGCATGTGCACAAGCAAGGCACACATACCACACTCATGTTCATGCACATGCCTGAAAGTGGCACATATACTATACTCCAGTCCACACACGTGCTGAAAATGGCCCACATACTACACCCAGGCCCACACATATATACATAAAACAGGTCTGGACAATAAGCAGAATTTCTTGAGGTTTTGTTGGTTTGTTTTTGATTTTTCGGGACAGGGTTTCTCTGTAGCTATGGAGCCAGTCCTGGAACTCAAAGAGCCACCTGCCTCTGCCTCCCGAGTGCTGGAATTAAAGCATGTCACCACCGCCCGGCTTTCTTGAGTATTTTTAATGCTTCCAAAATATGTGTCTGGAGAGATTTTAGGATAGGATAATAAACTAACCCTTAAAGGAAGTAGTCAGGAAAATATGGAGTCTAGAACCACACAGTACTCAGCACTCAGGTGGCAGAGGCAGGCAGATCTGAGTTTGAGGCCGGCCTGGTCCAGGACAACCAGGGCTGCTATACAGAGAAATCCCGTGTAGAAACAGAAAGAAGTCACTTTGCAGGTGGCCTGTTGCAACCTGCTTGGGTCTCAGCTAGATAAGGAGAAACTGCCTGTGGGGAAAAGATGGGTCCAGGAGAACCCACAGATCCAGGGCTGTCCTGGAACGAGTGCTTCGTCCTTTTCCTCATGGGCATCTCCCTGAAGAGAGCTGAGCTTCCTGACTGCAAACACAAAACCCCCTGTGTGGAAAGCTTTGAACTACACTCTGCCTGAGGCGTCCACCACACTGACTTCTGAGCCTTTTCTTTCTCTATTGCTTCTTCTGGAAATGCCTTTCCCAGCTCTGCCCGGCTGTTGGCACCTGGTGACAGTCTACACACACAGCTCTGACCTCCCTCACACACATGCCCTCCGCATGTACAGCCAGGGCACACACGTTTTTCCTTGCAGTTTTTCCAGTGAACCCCATTTCTTAGCACCCTAGAGCCCTGGCAGGTAGTGTTCCCTCTGCCTAGAATTGCAGCTCTGACCTCAGGCCAGGCATGGGGTTCTCTTGGTATCCAGTTCAGGGAGACATCTCCTGTCCAGAGACACCCAAGTCTCATATCCCACATCTGTCTGATAGCTCTGGCCACAGCTTCATGCCTGGGCTGGCACAGGAATTCTGTTGATAATGGTCCACTAGAGGGCAGGGATGGCTGCTGGGGTCCATGAGACGCGCAGAGTCTAACAGATAAAGTGGCGACTGGCTGATGTGCCAACTTCAAGTGTCTGGCTCTCTCTCTGCCCGACTCAGCTGCCCTTCTCCAGACAACCAAACAGGATCCTGCTTGTCTTTCGTCTGGACTCCCCTCTCACCCCCACCACCACTTGGACTTAGCTACTCCGTTAGCTATCAGTTCTAAGACCCGCTTGTAGATCAGGGTCCTTGGGGGAACTTGTTAGACACCAGTACCCAGGCTCCACCTTGGAGGAAACAGGATTTCTGAGGTGGAGACTCCAGCTTCACTGAAGAAGCTCCCTGGGGGACCCACGGCTCTGGCAGGTTGGAGAGTCACTCACTTGGCCCAAGGCCTCAGACCTTCCCATGTCAGTGACGATTTCTGATGGCTCCCATGCCCTCATTCTGAGATGGCCCTTGATGAAGCCAGACCTTCCCTCAACAGTTCCTTGCTGCCCAGGAGTCATGGAGCCATGTGAAAAGTAACCAGTGCGTTAGCAGTCATACCTTCAGCTCTAACCCTCACAGCCACCCCAAGAGAGAAAGAAAAAGGCCCATTCCCCAGACCAAAAAAAAAAAACTGAGGCCAGGGCCAGCAAAATGGCTCTGTGGTAAAGGCACCCACCGTCAAGCCTGACAACCTGAATTTAATCCTGTGGACCCACATGGTGGAAGGAAAAAAAAATTTCCACAGATTATCCTCAGACCTCTCTATATGTGTGATAGCACACATACACATATAAATAAATAAGAATGGAAGGAGGGAGGGAGGGAGAGAGGGAGGAAGGAAGGAAAGAGAAAGGAAGAGAGAGAGAGAGAAAGAGAAAGAAAAGAAAACGAGACTCGGAGGTGAAGCCTCCCAGCTCACACTTGAGTAGATCCTTTTTGGCCTGTGGCTCTGCCTCTAGACTGTGTGGGTCTCCTGTGATTAGCACCATCCCCAGAATGACCCCAGCTGTGCCTGGCTGTCCCCGCTGGATTCCACTTGCCCACCCCCATGCTCCCATCTGCATCTAATCTTGACATTCAGAGAGCAGCACTGGCCATGAGAGGGAGAAAGAGTAGCCTCAGAATGAGAGAAGATGCTCAAATCGTGACTCCAAGGGCTTGTAGCAGCATAGGCCCAAACCAGTCCCTCGGAATGTGGTTGACAGTTGCAGGGCTGGGGCAGACTGAGAGGCCACAACATGAACTGTATTAAAGCATTGCAGCATTGGGAGGTTGAGAACCACTGTTATAGAACTTAGGATCACCATCCCAGAGGTGGCACTTCCCATAATGGGCTGTCCCGCCCCATCATTCACTAATTAAGAAAATGCCCCACTGGCTTGCCTTCGGCCCGATCTTATAGAAGCATTTTCTTAAGTGAGGCTCCCTTCTCTATGATGACGCTAGTTTCTGTCAAGTTGACATAAAACTTGCCAGTACAACTGACCCCTGTCAGCTTGACACACAAACATTGCCTTTCCGTTAGAGCATTTCCTTTATCATTTATCCTCAAGATGACTCATTAATATTAATATACCAATATAAAACAAATAACTTCAAAAATTCAAACACATTAAAAGTTTAGTCTCTTTAAAAATCCCAAACATTTTTTTAATTTATTTATTAAAGATTTCTGCCTCCTCCCCGCCACCGCCTCCCATTTCCCTCCCCCTCCCCCAATCAAGTCCCCCTCCCTCATCAGCCCGAAGAGCAATCAGGGTTCCCTGACCTGTGGGAAGTCCAAGGGCCACCCACCTCCATCCAAGTTCAAAGTCTTTCAGCTGTGGGCTCCTATAAAAATCAAACTTAAGCAAGGCAGTGGTGGCCCACATCTTTTAATCCCAGCATTTAAGGAGGCAGAGGCCCAGGAGGCTGGAGGCAGGTGGATCTCTGAGCTCAAGGCCCACCTGGTCTCGGGAAAGAAAAAAAATCAAAATTAAATTACTTTCTTCAGGAGGGAAGAACCAGGGCACAGTCGCAATCTGCACAAAGCAAAACCAAACTCCAACAGTGTAAGAAGCTCAGTGCCCAATTATCTAGGATCCACTCACCGGGCTCCTCCAAGGGGCCTGGGTCAGTCCTCCAGCTCCGCCCCCTGCAGCACACACAGCTTGTCTTCTGGGCTCAGGCTGGCTCCACTCCACCGCTGCTGTTGTTCTTGGTGGCCATCCCGGGTACCAGCATCTCCAAACTGCTGGGGTCGCGTGCTGCAGCAGGGCCGCGCTTTCACCAATAGCCTCTCCTGAGCTCTTCTCAGGGACTCCAGCCCTGCCACACGGTGCCAAGCCTCAGCCGCTCTCCATGACCCCTGCATACCTTCAAAACCAACAGCACCTGCGTGACTCTGAACGCTACCAAGTTCAGCGGTCAGCAGGAGGTATAACCTTGGCCGGTGTGGAACACAGCTTCTGTGTACTGACCCTGAGGGAACACTTCCCAGAAGTTTTCGCCTCAGTGATGATGAACTTTTCTTTTTTCAGCTTTTTGAGACAGGGTTTCTCTGTGTAGTCCTGGCTGTCCTGGAACTCACTTTGTAAACCAGACTGGCCTTGAACTCAGAGATCTACCTGCCTCTGTCTCCGCAGCTCAGGGATTAAGGCATATGCCACACCCGCCCATCTGATCTCTTCTTAATCACTGCTGGATTTGCAGCTCCAGCCGACCAGCATCAAGTATCCCAGCAAAGGTTTCGCCTTCCTTAATGGTCTGGTCTCCTATTAGTCCCAGCTGATTCTGCAGCCCTGCTAACCAGAACCACAAAATCTTCCCACAAAACTCCCTGTAAAGTCTTTGCTCCTCTCTGAAGCTCCACAAGCCAGACCTCCATTGTCTGCACTGCTCTCAACAGCCTTATCTTCCAAGCTCCTACAGAAGAGCCCGCTGAGCTCTCAATAATCAGCGGCTTTTCTAGCCACAAGCACACAGGCAAGTGGGCCGCTCAGAGAGACTGGGTGTCGAGACGGAACAGTGCTTGTCAGAACTCCACGGCTGACCTTCAGTGGCCAGACGTCCACGACAGTTCCCCACTGAGAAAAGTGGAAACTGAGTTCGCTCAGATGCCAAAGGTTGTGAGAGCCTGGGTATCATCTGTCGTAAATCAGTGACAGCGTCATGAAGACTCCAGAAAGGTGCCGGTGAGCAGACCTGGACTCTCAGCCAGAGATTAGAGTGTGTGTTTATAAATTGTGATAGCGGAAGAGAAGTTGTGTGCTGGGAGGTGATGGCTGCGTGCAGTTTATTTTAGCAGGATTTTTATTTATATGTCATTTATTTATGTGCACATATGTGTGCCTCTGTGCGTTTATACCATGTGCAAACCCCTGGAAGTGGAGTTACGAATGGTCGTGGGCCGCCATGTGGCTGATGAAAACCAAACCCAGGTCCTCTGCCCAAGCAGCCGGTGCTCTTAACCACTGAGCCATCTCTCCGGCCCCCTCGTGATCTTCTTTTTTCTTTTTTTTTTTTTTTTTTTTGGTTTTTCGAGACAGGGTTTCTCTGTGGTTTTGGAGCCTGTCCTGGAACTAGCTCTTGTAGACCAGGCTGGTCTCGAACTCACAGAGATCCGCCTGCCTCTGCCTCCCAAGTGCTGGGATTAAAGGTGTGCGCCACCACCGCCCGGCTCCTCGTGATCTTCTTAAAGAGGTCCCCCTGGCCACTGTTAGGGTTCAGCTGAAACCATGCCTCCCCAGATGGTGTCAGGAGTGGAGGTGGAAGTGGACTCCATAAAGGTAATTGGGTTTTCCCGGTGAGGAACCCAGAATGGGATGCTGTTGGCACCGGAAGTGAAGGTGAGGACCTTAATAAGGAGGCATCACTCAAAGACAAAAACCAAGCCAAGTCAACTACCCTTCAAGAAAATCATCCTGAGGAGGAGGAGGAAACCACATGTTAAAATCAAGCTGGAGGGGTTGTTCAGTGGTTAGAGCACTTGCTACTCTTGCAAATGATCAGGGTTCAATTCCCAGCACCCACATGATGGTTCACAACCATCTGTAATTCCAACTCCAGGGAATCCAATGACCTGCAATGGTATCAGGCACACACATGGTGCACAGACATACATACAAGTAAAATACTCATATGCATAAAATATAAATAAATCATCTTTATGTCCTGGTTTGGGACACACACCGCTCTGTATTGTGACATCTCCTTAGATCCTTCCTGACTGTGACATTTTCTTGGGTTTCATTTTCAATGACCTGGACGGTTTCTGAGGTGAAGTGTTTTGGTTTTTCAAGACAGGGTTTCTCTGTGTGTAAACCTGGCTGTCCTGGAACTCACTCTGTAGACCAGGCTGGCTTGAACTCACAGAGATCCGCCTGCTTCTGCCTCCCGAGTGCTGGGACTGAAGGCCTGCACCACCACCGCCTAGCTGAGGTGAAGTATTTTTACCAGCTGCCCTATGCTGGGATTTATCTGTTGTGTTTCTCATTTTGCTGGGACTTTGGTCTTAGAAGAAAACGGCCTATGGCAAATAGAGCTAGGTTATGATGGCAGGTCTGAGTTGATTCAGATCAATATATTCGGGAAATAAAGTGGTAAAGGCAGGACCTCTCCACGTTTCCTGTCCCCGGTGAACATAGACCGCCTTCACTTGGAACCAGGCCTCCCATGGGCAAATGCTCAAACTAAGAACATCATTCACAAAATGGGCACAAAAAATTATAAACAGAAAAATTCAAGACTTCCTTATTTTTTTAATGATCTCATTTGGGATCTTTTTGTTTTCTTCTGTCTTTACAGTTTTGTTTAACTCTAAATTGCAGTGAGATGTCACGGATGCCTGAGTTTTGAGAGAAGTCCTGGAGTTTTAGGACTCTCTCAGGAGAGTGCCTTGTACATCTGCCTGCAGTTAACGGTGCCTACATGACATCAGTTTTAGGGACATTCATTGCTCGTTCAAGAGGTCTGAAGCTGGGGCTGCGGAGATGGCTCGGCACTTGAAGAGGACTTGTTGCTAAATCATGGGAATCAGAGTTCGGATCCCAGCGCCACATGACAAGTCAGGTGTCTTGCAGACACCTGTAACTCCAGCTCTTAGTGGTGTCCCCTGTCTTCTGCAGATGCCACCACACACAAATAAATAAGGCCAATCTTTAACATCAAAAAGAGAAAGGAGTTCAAAACTAAGAATGGTGGTGTATACCTGTAGCATGATGCATAAAAACCCAGAGACAAAAACTGGGGTTCAACCTGAAGGTTAGAAAAGCAAAACAGCCAGCCACTGGCTCCTACCTCAGTCCAAAATGGTGATCCTGCCTCCAGGAATCTCAGAATGAGACTATCTGAGAGCTGTCTCCTCCCGTCTTATATTCCTCTCTAGGGGTGGGATTAAAGGTGTGCACCACTACCGCCCAGTTTCTATGGCAACTAGTGTAGCTACTGGGATTAAAGGTGTGTGTCACCATTGCCTGGTCTGTAAGGCTGATCAGTAGGGCTGTTTTACTCTCTGATCTTCAGGCAAGCTTTATTTATTAAAATACAAATGAAATATTGCTACCTACTTGTAATCCAATTTTATAGGAGCTCAAAACCAACCTCAGCTACATAGTGACTTGGAGGCCAGCCTGAGTTATGTGAGACCCTGTCTTGTCTGGTGTTTTAGAGCCCTAGACCAGCATTTGTGTTGTGGTTGTGGTTGGATGGTCACTTTGTTGAGACTGGGTCTCATCGTGTAGCTCAGGCTGTCTGGGGCTCACTATATAGACTAGGCTGGCCTTGAACTCTTAAGTGCTGGAATTAAAGGCTTTTTTGTCACCACCTTCAAAAGCATTTCTTTTTATTTGAAGTGTGAGGGTTAAGGCAGGTTTGTAGCTCTGGCTGCCTGGTATTCCCTGTGTAGACCTGGCTGACCTGGAACTCACAGAGATCCACCTGCCTCTGCTCCCTAAGTGCTGGAATTAAAGGTGTGTGCCACCACACCCAGCCACTTGATTTTTTTAATTAATATTAATAATTTTAAAAAGTGCAAATAAAAACCATCACATACCGAAATTAACCAATTTTTTAAGGATTTTTTAATGTATGTGAGTATTTTCCCTCCATTTGTCTATGTAGCCCACGCGTGCCTGGTATCAGTGAGACCAGAAGAGGGCCTCAGATCCCCTGGAACTAGAGTTACAGACAGTTGTGAGCCACAGTGTGGGTGCTGGGGATTGAACCTGAGTCCTCTGGGAGAGCAGCCAGGGGTCTTATCCATTGAGCCATCCCTACACCTCACACACTTGATTTTTGAGTGAGAGATTCTTGTTTCATGCCGCATTAGCTGGATTGAGTTACGTCATCGCTCTGCGTCACGGAAATTAATAAGCCCTGGGTCCTTTAGTTTCAGCTCCAGAATTCGTCTTTGAACATGGCTATCAAACTTACCTGCCCACGGAGAGCAACGAAAACCAGACAGCCACCGTGATCTCGCTCCCTGCCAGGACACGTGCCAAGAAGCCCACCACGTCCCTTGGGCAGAAGAGACTGGGCTGCTGCTATCCAGGTAAAGGGGGCTCTGGGCACAGCAAGGGCAGACAGGGTTCATAGGATTTGTTTTAATAGGGGCAGGCTGGGTCCTGACTCTGTAGCTCAACCAGACCTGGAATTCACTATACCACTTTGGTGGGCCTCGAACTCATGATTCTCCTGCCTCAGCCTCCCACCTGTTGGAAGTAGAGGCCTGAGCCACAGTGCCCAGCTTCTTGGTGAATTCTTATTATTCCTAAAGGTTTATGAGTGTAAGTCTACACCTGTGTATAAGCCTATACCCTCCCCCTCCCACGTGTGTTGGATGCCCAGAAGAGGGCGTGGAACCCTCTGGAACTAGAGTCACTGGGGGCTGGGCACCAAACCTGGGTCCTTCGGTAGAGCGGCCTGTGCGCTAACTTCTGCACCGTTTCCAGTCCTGGTTACTCTGGTTCTTATGAATCTTCAGTCTTCTCTAAACAGGAGAGCATTTGTCTGCCTGATGGCTGTCTTTCCTAACACTGCCACCTTTTATTCCATACAGTTCCTCATGTGGTGGCGACCCCCAGCCATAAAAGGATCCCTCTGCTACCTGATAACTGTAACTTTCGCTACTGTTATCAATCACCATGTAAATATCTGATATGCAGGATAGTGAGGAGGTCCCGACCCACAGGTTGAGAACCACTGTTGTAAAGTATGACTCCATGCGTCATCATTCTGCTGACTCTTTTGGTGTTGTTGTTTTGGAATTTTCAAGACAGGGTTTCTCTCTGTGTAACAGCCCTGGCTGTCCTGGAACTCTCTCTGTAGACCAGGCTGGCCTTGAACTCACAGAGATTCACCTGCTTCTACCGCTCAAGTGCTGGGATTAAAGGCGTGCGCCACCACTGCCCGGCCTCCTTTTGATTTTGGTTTGTGTCAGATCAATACTGTACTGTGTCTGGCATGTGTTGTCAGTGTCTTTCCCGTGTTGCTGGCCATCTCCCCGTTGTGTGGCAAGTCGACCACTTCGGTTTTCTCTGGACTCTTCCGTTGGCTTTTTCAGGTTGCCAGTTCAAGACTGCCTATGGCATGAAGGACATGGAGCGCCACCTGAAGATCCACACAGGTAAGTGACATCATTCACTAGGTAGAGTACCCTGAACACCCACCCAGGAGAACCTGGGGACCCAGAGATGTCGGACCTGTAAAAAGGCCCAAGCCTCACAGAGGTCAAAGGAACACAAGTACAAAGTAAATAAACATACAGTTTGTACACGTGACTATGGCAGAAACATATCTAAAGCAATCAAAACCCAGCAGTAAACCAGGCAGTGGTGGCACACGCCTTTAATCCCAGCACTTGGGAGGCAGAGGCAGGCGGATCTCTGAGTTTGAGGCCAGCTACAGAGTGAGTTCCAGGACAGACAGGGCTGTTACACAGAGAAACCCTGTCTGCACCCCTCCCTCCAAAAAAAATGAAAACAAAAACAGCAGTGGAGGACGTGAGCACTGAGCCAGAGGCCAGGAACTGCCACGGCCACGTGAGCCATAGCCACGTGAGAAGTGACGTACTGTTGTTAATCCGCATCAGATGCAGATGGCATTCAGGTGGGAGATGTGTCCTATATGATACCACGTTAGTAAAGAGAGAGGAGAGTGTTTGTTTGTGTCCAGGGCTGGGGTCAAACCAGAGGATACATGAGCTTTGTTTTCACCGGTCATTTAATTTGTTGTTGATGTTGATTATTTAGAAAAGATCTCACTATGTAGCTCAGGCTAGACTAAAACTCATTATATAGCCTGGGCTTGCTTCCAATTCTCATACCCCTGCTTCACTGGGGTCATAGGTGCTCACCACCACACCCGGCCAGGGACAGCGGCTTTCCCACAGCTGCTTTCTTTACTCGTGACACAAAGCACAGAAAGGGGAACCTAAGGTGGTCTGCTTTAGAGCAGCAGAAAGGGCCAGAGGATGGTTCAGCAGGAAGAGGAGCTTGCCACCAAGCCAGATGACCTGAGGTCAGTCCCTAGGACCCATGTGGTGGAAGCGGAGAACCAGTTTGGGAACTTTAGAACATTTTCCTCTGACCTCCACAGGCTCAAGTGTGAACACAAGCACACATGCACATATCAAACACACACCCGCACATACCACACACACACACCACACACAATTTTTAATGTAACCAAATTTTTAAAGGAGGGAAAAACATCAATGCTTAGAAAAAGGAGGATTAAGTGGGGATATTTTAATTTTCTTGATACAGTCATCCTTTAGACCCCTGGGATTGCTGTCAGGGAGCCCCCTCTTCCCAGAGATGCCAGAAGCTAAGGATGTTCTGCACAGTGCCCACATTCGCCCTCCGGGTACCCACTGCACTACGGAGGACTGACCCTTCTTGCCAGAATGCCAGCCCCACACTCTCTGTCTTCTCAGTGCGGCTACTGCTTATGCTCCAAATATCATTTGCTCCGCAGCCATTTGAATGCACAGTTGCAGGGCCCTCTGGTTACAGAAGCCAGCTTGCGTGCTTTTATGGTTTCCAGATGTTACAGATAGAGAAAGAATTGCTGCCAGGCGGTTTTAGAGGAAGTCTGAGAGGTTCCCGGTCAAGTGACCCAGAGGTGTAAATTCCAAAGGGAAGAGTACAGAAGCGAGGGAGCGAAGGGTCTTCTCACATTCTATCTGCTGGGCAGCCTCAGCCCTTCGAAAGCTCAAACCGCTAATGGCTATCAGCTGTGACCCATGAGTGGCACTGGGGTCACTCCTGTCCGCTGGACCTCACACTGCCAAGTCACACGGACTTATTCTAATTACCCAAATATTAACTTTCATAAGAAAACAGTGGCTCCCCCCCCCCATATGGTCTGCATGGGTTAGGGTTTCATCGAGTAAATTGCACACATTATCAGTGACAATTGGGGAAACTGGGTCAGAGTATAAGTGAAGACATATTGGTTACTTTATTGTTGCTGTAGGATGTCCAACCAATGCCACTGGAAGGAAGGAAGGTGGGGAGGGAAGGAGGGAGGGAGGGAGGGAGGGAGGGAGGGAAGGAAGGAAGGAAGGAAGGAAGGAAGGAAGGAAGGGATGGAAGTTTATTTTGGCTCACAGCTTGACGGTGTCCAGTCCATGGTGGCAGGATCATGAGGCCGCTGGTCACATGGTACCCACAGGCAGGAAGCAGCTGGCCACACAGCATCCACAGTCAGGAAGCAGAAAGTTGAACCCCAATGCTCAGCTCACTTTCTCTTTATTCAGCTCAGGACCGCAGCCCAGGATGGTACCATGCCCATCCAGTCAGACTTCTCTACAGACCCCCTCACAGACACGCTCAGAGGTGTCTCCTAGGTTTCTCCTAAGTTGACAGTGAGGATGAGCCATCACTTGCTGCAGCAATCTTAGATCCATTCCTATATGTCATCTGAAGACACCGCTGCACAGCAGAGTGGGTGACCTGAGGGTATCCTTGCTGGCCTCTTTTAAGGAGGGTGGTTAGGGTTGGTGGCGAGCACCCCATGTGGTTCCTGCCTGGCAGAGCTGTTGAAAACCAGCCTCTGCATCACGAGCAGGCAGTACCCCTGGTGCAAACTGACAGTCCAGAGGGCACAGGCAACACCAGGCAGCAGACAGTGCAGAGAGATGCCCCACTGGGAGCTTGATTTCAGTAAAATGACTTTGTTTTTGCAGTGTTGAGGGTCAAACCCTGGGCCTTGTGCTTGCAAGACAAGTGGTCTACCAACTGAGTTACATCCCTAGCTCAAGAAAATGATCATCTTTAAGAAATTGTCAGATGTATTTTTTTTGAGACAGGGTTTCTCTATAACTTTGGAGCCTGTCCTGGAACTAGCTCTTGTAGACCAGGCTGGGCTTGAACTCACAGAGATTTTCCTGCCTCTACCTCCCAACTGCTGGGATTAAGGATGTATTTTTTAAGATTATTATTATTATTATTATTATTATGTATACAGTGTTCTACCTGCCTGTATGCCTGCATGCCAGAAGAGGGCACCAGATCTCATTATAAATGGTTGTAACCTACCATGTGGTTGCCAGGAATTGAACTCAGGACCTCTGGAAGAAGTCTTAACCTCTGAGCTATGTCTTCAGCCCCAACAGATGTGTTCAGATGTGCCAACCTTACTCTGACACGATCAGCTTTGGCACACTGTCAGTGCGGGGCTCAGTACATACTTGATCTACAGAGTGGAAAGTGAAAATCTCACTGGTGTGCTGACTCACAACTGTAATCCCAGCACTCGGGAGCCAGAGGCAGGCGAATCTCTGTGAGTTCAAGACCAGACTGGTCTACAGAGCAATTTCAGGACAGCCAGGGCTATATAAAGAGAGCCCGTCTCCAAAAAGCAAAACAAACCCAAAAAAGCAGAAAGATAAGACAAACAAAAGACAAGGTAAGAGTAAAAGTCCCTACTTAGAACATGTAACTTCTTAATATACCTCAAAGTCACCAACCTTTGTAGTCCACACCGCAATATTCTGAATTTTTTGTGTGCAGATATAAGGCCTAAGACAGACTAACAATTTATTTTATTTATTTTATTTTATTTTTTGGAGACAGGGTCTCACTATATAGCTATTACTGTCCTAAAACTCACTATATAGACCAGGCTGACCTCATACTCACAGAGCTCAGCCTGCCTCTGCCTCTGCCTCCCTGGGATTAAAGACGTGTGCTCCTATGCCCAACTCCAGACTCACAATTTTATTTTCTCTTATTAAGCAAATGTGATATTCTTGTCCCCACTTAATGTGTGTCTTTATTATTTTTAAACTTTATTGTGTGCATGTATGTGTATGTGTGTACACACATGCTCATATGCCCACTGCTTTATCCGTGTGGAGGTCAGAGGTCAATTATCATAATCTGTTCTTTACTGCCATGTATGGTTTCCAGGAATTAAAATTGAATCACCAAACTTAATGGCAGATGCCTGTAACCCCTAGACTGTACCCCCTGGAGCCATCTCAACATTTGCATGTCTTTGTGCAGGGGCGTGTGTGTGTGTGTGTGTGTGTGTGTGTGTGTGTGTGTGACTGGGGAATTGATTCAGTAATTTATAGCCCATCCATAAAGTAAAATCGCTCAACCTCAGCTGCTTAATGGTGTGGAAATGACAGGAAGGACTACATGAGCCAAACTAAGCCAACAGGGAGCGGAACAGAATCTGCTCGAAAAGCTGGGGAGCCCTGGATTCTAGTCCCAGCTTTGTGAAGAGGAGGAAGTGAAGTCCAGGGACCGGACAATAGAGCATGAAGGGTCTGAGTCAGTGCGAGGGCTAGGGCCGTGGCTCCGGTGGTAGAGCACTCGCCTGACGTGCTCGAAGCTCTGGGTTCCATCCCCAGAATGGCATCAGCGAGGCCTGGCGCACACTCACATTCCCAACGCTGTGCAGGCAGAGGCTGAAGTTCAGGGTCACGTTTGGCTTCTTGGCAAGTCCAGAGCCAACCTGGAATGCACGAAACTGCCGCAGATAAAAAAAGAAGACACTAGCTGGCACAGGTTTTTGTGCTAAATACACACATCTACAAAAACTAATTAATTAAAAAGAGGTGAGGCTATATGTAGCCCAGTTATAGAACACTTGCCTAGCAACCCCGAGACCCTAGCTTATTCCCTAACCACACGTACACACACGCACACACATGCACCTCTGCACTGGTGAGGAGGTTCAGTGGGTAAAGGCGCTTGCTGACAAGCCTGAAGACATTATAAATGAGTTCAGTTCCCAAGACCCACATGGTAGAGGGAGAGAGCCAACTTGTGCAGGTTGCCCTCTGACCTCACATGCCACGGTATGCACAGGTCCACACAGAGAAATATCAACATACACGCACTTAATAAATAGGAGCTCTCCAGGTCAGAAGTGAGCAGTTGCTTAGATGCTGACATCTGCCATCAAGGGTCAGACTAAACTGCTTTAGCAGAGAGACCTAAACAGCACCTATGCCAAGATGAGGATGCGGGCAGTGGAAAAGGCAGGCCACGCGGGCCCAAGACTGTAAAGAAGGAACGGATAGAAGAGAGATGGCTGTTTCATATTACACTAATGTCCTCAGTGCTTCTGTGTCTGTAGAATAAAGTAATACTTTAATATTGGGATGATTTACATATCAAAAAAGGCAGTAAAAGAAAATATGCTAAGTCAGGTATGGTGGTGCACACTTTTAACCCCAGCTCTTGGGAAGCAGAGGGAGGCAGATCTCTGTGAGTTCGAGGCTAGCCTGGTCTACAGAGCATGTTCCAGGGCTACATAGTGAGATCCTGTCTCAAAAATAAAAAAGTACAATAATCAAAATTAATAAGATAATAGAAGTTGGATGGATGAGCTACATAGAGTGTTTATACAAGACCCTGTAAAGCACGGGGAACATCGAGTAAAGGGGTCAGAAATAGCCAGAGGTAAGCAGAAAGACCTCAACGTTCTTGTTTTAAAGCCTGGCATAGTGAGGCATGCCTCTAACACCAGCACCTAGAAACTGGAGGTGGGGCAAGTTCAAGGCCAGCCTGGGCTACATGGATCCCTGTCCAGAAACAGCAAAATATTTATTTTTTTAGTTGCTGTGTGCTTTTTAGCTAACAAGGAATTCCTAGTCATCTTGGGGGAAAAAGTTTGAAATCTCCTAAAAAGCCACACAGCAGAGCCGCCACCCCACCCCGGGGCCTGCAGGTTGATTCTCCCCGAAGGTGTCGGGAGTAAGCGTTAACTTCTCAATCTTGTTTCCCGCCACGGCTTGCTGTGCACCCAAAGGTGACAAACCCCACAAGTGCGAGGTGTGCGGGAAGTGCTTCAGCCGGAAGGACAAGCTGAAAACGCACATGCGCTGCCACACGGGCGTCAAGCCCTACAAGTGCAAGACGTGCGACTACGCGGCCGCCGACAGCAGCAGCCTCAACAAGCACCTGCGCATCCACTCGGACGAGCGGCCCTTCAAGTGCCAGATCTGCCCCTACGCCAGCCGCAACTCCAGCCAGCTCACCGTGCACCTGCGCTCGCACACGGGTAAGTCACGCGGCGCCGCCTCCAACTCCAGCGCGGGCACCTGCCGTCCGTGGGCAGCTGGGAAAGAGAGGAGCTGGGGCTGGTGGGTTAGAGCCCTTGCCGGGCGTGCACAGGGCTGCATCCCCAGCACCGCTTAACAGGTGTGGTGGCACACACCTGTAACCCCAGCACCGGAGAAGTAGCAGCAAGGAGGATCAGGTCATCCTTGGCTGTGTCCAGAGTACAGGGCTAGCCTGGGCTACCTGGGACTCTGTTTCATGGAAACAGTTTTCAAGGCGCTGGGGTAGCCGACCCTCCTTCCTCTTGTCTTTGCCTTCTCACCCGTGTGAAAGAACCTGTCCCAGTAACACAGGAGCAGCTGTGTGGCAGTCATCACCTTCCGTGTGTTTTTATGGAACTCATATGTGCGGGGCTGAGGGACTATATCCTATGAAATAGATACAGTGAGTTTTTAATCGTCGTCCGAGTTACAGTCAGTAAAGCCATTTTTAAATGTAGCACTGTGTTCAGACTAGCGCGCCTTAATCGGAAAGCACGCGGCAAGGGCCCTGGTATGTGCTTGACTCTTGCCTGGCCCACCAGAGGCCCTGGGTTGCATCCTCAGTGGTGCTTCTTAGCAACCATCACCCTGTCCCCACGTGTACTGCAGCAGGTGTATTGTATCACGTCCTTCAGGTCCACAGGCGTTGATGTTGGTGTTCGCTTAGCTTAACCACGTGTGTGAAAAGGCTTCTGCCTACCTCTGCTCGGGAGCCGCTGAATGTGGGCTTGGCGGCTGTGCGTTGGTCTCACCTGGGGTGATCAGGCTGTACCCCATCTATCTCTGACCCTGCTCTCAGGCCTGTGGGCTAGCCCAGGTGTAGCGCCGGTCCTAAGGGACGGTCCGCGAGCCGGGAAAGGGGCTGGAGAATAAACACATATGCACATAGACAGGGACACGGGTCATTCTTGAAACAAGAATGTCCCCTTTATTGTGTTCCAGGGCAGCTTATATAGGGATCCTGAACTGATAGCCATGCCCCAGCCAAACCCACCAGAAACCACTCCCCTGTCATCAGGAACTCCTGAGGGTCTCGTGCTCAGAGCAGCTGCAAACACAGGAAAACAAGTTGTTTTGCTCAGAGCAGCTGCAAGCATTGGAAAACAAGTTGTTTACAGGAAATTCAGGGTCTGGGGGTCCACAGCCCCTAACACCCAGGCTTGGCTTTGTCATGGTCGCCACACAGAACAGGCAGGCAGGCCAATGTGGAAGCCCACTGAAGCCTCAGATTGCATGTGTCCACAAACAACACATTGGCACCTAAAGCAAGTCACAGGCTGGATCTGGTGTCAGGGGTGGTCTCGAGCTCACCCGTGGGACAGCCACCACCAGATTACATGGCAAGGGACAGGAGAGGAATGAAGGTTTAGTACTGTTCGTGCAGACAGTCACCTACCATGACCACGACCACCACCACCTTTGTCCCCACCATCAGGCTCATCTCTGACATTCACACCATGTCCAGGACGCCCATAAATCTCACCCAAGGATCACACCAAGAGACGGGGACTGAGTGAGGCCCCTCAGGTCAGAAAGGATAAGTCTGATTGTGGCATTCTGGAGTCCCAACAGTGACAATAATCCTGTATGGGGAATGGTGAGGATGAAAGCCTTATCTGTGCCTGGTCCCACACATGTCTAAAATCTCTCTTGGCGTATTTCCCAGATCCCTTTGTTCAGGCTTGGTTGGCGACGAGTAGTATCTAGCTCTGGCTCATAACCCCGCCCACTTGGGACATCCTCTCAGGCTATATTCTGGACCACTTCTAAAGACTTGGCCTCCCAAGACTGCCACTTCTGCTTGCTACCTACAGAAGGGGGTGGGCGGATATACATGCATTCTGCTCACAGAAGGGGGTGTCCAGGTGCATATGCATGCTGCCCGCAGAAGGGGGTGTCCAGGTACACATGCATGCTGCCCACAGAAGGGGGTGTCCAGGTACACATGCATGCTGCCCACAGAAGGGGGTGTCCAGGTGCACATGCATGCTGCCCGCAGAAGAGGGTGTCCAGGTACACATGCATGCTGCCCACAGAAGGGGGTGTCCAGGTACACATGCATGCTGCCCGCAGAAGGGGGTGTCCAGGTGCACATGCATGCTGCCCACAGAAGAGGGTGTCCAGGTGCACATGCATGTTGCCCACAGAAGGGGGTGTCCAGGTGCACATGCATGCTGCCTGCAGAAGGGGGTGTCCAGGTGCACATGCATGCTGCCCACAGAAGGGGGTATCCAGGTGCACATGCATGCTGCCCACAGAAAGGGGTGTCCAGGTGCACATGCATGCTTCCCACAGAAGGGGGTGTCCAGGTACACATGCATGCTGCCCACAGAAGGGGGTGTCCAGGTACACATGCATGCTGCCCGCAGAAGGGGGTATCCAGGTGCACATGCATGCTGCCCACAGAAGGGGGTGTCCAGGTGCACATGCATGTTGCCCACAGAAGGGGGTGTGCAGGTGCACATGCATGCTGCCCACAGAAGGGGGTGTCCAGGTACACATGCATGCTGCCCACAGAAGGGAGCGCATAGGTACACATGCATGCTGCCCACAGAAGGGAGCGCATAGGTACACATGCATGCTGCCCGCAGAAGGGAGCGCATAGGTACACATGCATGGACAGGCCAGGGAGGATCTTTTCCCTTTTCGTTTTAGTGGAGACTGGTACCCCTTGTACTACTGCATCTGCCTTTAAAACTTGAGTTCCCTGAGCTGGAAATGGTGGTGCAGGTGCACACCTTTAATCCCAGCCCTCAAGAGGCAGAGGCCAGGTGGATCTGAGTTCGAGGCCAGCCTAGACTACGGAGTGAGTTCCAGGACAGCCAGGGCTACATAGAGAAACCCTGTCCCAAAGAAGAAGAAAAAACTTTGAGTTTCCCATTTATTTGTAAGATTTAAAACTAGTTGTGCGGCGGGCATCCTGCCTCTCTAGACTCAGTTGTGGACATTTCTTTCTCTGACACTGGGGGAGCTGGGAGGCTCCTGGCGCCAGGGTAATCTTTTTGGAGGTGGACACAGAATCTTACACTAGGGTTTCCCTTTCTCATTTGGTCCTCATTCAGAGGTTATTTCCTTGGACATGATCTTGGTCCCCATGCCTTTGCCTAACTTTAAAAGATAGTTGGAGGGGGACTACAGAGATGGCTCAGCGGTTAAGAGCACTGACTGCTCTTCCAGAGGACCTGGGTTCAATTTCCAGCACCTACATGGCCGCTCACAACTGTCTGTAACTCCAAGATCTGACACCCTCACGCAGGCAAAACGCCAATGCACATAAATAAAAGTAAATAAATTATAAAAAGCTAGCTGGAGGCGCTGGAAAGATGACTCAGTGGTTAAGGGTACTTGCTACTCTCCCAGAGGATCAAAGTCTAGCACCCACATCAGGCACCTTACAACTGGCCACCTATACGCCAGCTTCAGGGGATCCACAGCCCTCATCTGTACTCCAAGGCTACACACACACACACACACACACACACACACACTTGCATGTACACACAGACACGTGTACATAAGTAAAAACTTCAGTGTTCTGTTTTGTGTGGAAACAAGGTCATGGAGATCCACCTGCCTCTGCCTCACAAACACTGAGATTAAAGGCGTGTGCCACCACGCCTGACTAAAGTAATTTTTTTTTTAAAGTCTGTACTATTTTATTTGTTTATTATGTACACAATGTTCTGTCTGCATGTATGCCTGCCCACCAGAAGAGGGCCCTAGGTCTCATAGATGGTTGTGAGCCACCATGTGGTTGCTGGGAATTGAACTCAGGACCTCTGGAAGAACAGCCAGTGCTCTTAACCTCTGAGCCATCTCTCCAGCCCCTAAAGTAAATTTTTTAAAGAGCTCGTAGGAAATGACTTCCAAGGATGCCCACAACAGATTATGTCTAGAAAATCCTTGCCTTTCCCTCCACACTCTGCTTGGAACCCACTGGGCTCTTTAGTGAACTATCTTCTGGGACCAATCATAGCACCCTCCAAGCTCAAGCTGCCTGGGTGTCTGTTTACCAGTGTGTGGATTGAATAACTTTAGCAGCTGGATCTGGATGTCTGTTGTCAGTGTGAACTACCATTTCTGTGACTTGATTCCCAAACCCAGGCTGAAGATTTGGGTTCTCCAGGTCTCTAATAACCTACCCTCCCCCAAACCTCCACACACAGCAATATCCTCCATTCTCAGGCTGGGAAGCAGCTGAGGTGCCTGTAGGTAACTCTCTGTCCCCAGCTGGGCTTTCAGTCTGAGAAGCTGCTGTGACAGGAAGTCACTGTGCCCTGGGCTGGAGTGATCTGCCTCTGCACCACACGTCTGTCCGTCTGTCTGTCTGTCTGTCTGTCGTCATTCTCCTGGAACCAGCGGGCTAGCAAGAAGCGACCTTCTCATGACGTGTGAGCAAGACATTCCCAAAGACAGAGCCTTTCCAAAGTGCCTAGTGGGCCTTGTTTTCTGTCATCCCAGCACTCAGGAAGTAGAGGCAGGAGGATCAAGTAGTTCAGTGTCATCCTCAGCTATGTAACCAGTTTAAGGCCATCCTGAGCTACATGAGACCCTATCTCAACAACCCCCTACCAAATAAATGACAATAATAATAGTAATAATAATAATAATAATACCACTTTCATGTCAAGTCTGGTTGCTCCTGCTAAATAGTATCAGCCAGATCCAGTGACCTTTGAGCCCAATGTAGGTCACAGCATGTCACTCTGCCCTATTCAATAAGCTTATGTAATTGTATAGGAGTCAGAGGACACAAAGAGGGACAGGAGGTGGGAGACTGGGGGATGCTTGTGCGCTCTTTGCAGCAGGCTAGGACACTGGTGTAACTGGCACCCAGTCTGTTGTCTGGAGTCTGCTCCATTTCTTCCATCTGGTTCTTCCTGGTGACTCACACCCAAAAACCAAGTACCCGACTGAGGCAGGAGGATCAAGAGTTCATAGCCTGGGGATTAAGGAATTGGTTCAGTAGATAAACTACTTGCTAAGGACATAACACCGGTGGATGAGGATGGTGGCCTGCCTGTAATTTCTGCACTCGGGAGGACGGAATGGGGAATCCCTGAAGCAAGCTGATTAGCCAGACTAACGAAATAGCAAGCTTCAAGTTCCCTGAGAGACCCTGCCTCAGTAAATAAAACGAATAGTGAAGGAGGAAGACGTTGACGTCAACCTCTGGCCTCCACACGCACGCTCACACATGTGAACACACACACACAAAATAAATAAAATATGTACAAAATGAATATGAAATTAAAGAGTTCAGAGCCAACCAGGGCTACACAGCGGTTCCTGCTCTCACACAACACCATTACTAGTCCACTTGGGCTTACGGGGTTGGACTCATTAGTGGCATCTTTGGGTTATGCTAGAAAGGCATGTTTCCTAACATTTTAAATGTGTGCCGGTTATGTGTCGTCTCCACGGAGTGTTCATTTTGTTGAGTTACAGTGTTCTTTCACCTGCCGGTCCGTCTGGTATTCTGTGCCGCCGACCGTTCTGCTTACCGCTGAGAGTAGGAAGGCTCTGTGGGTTTAAACACACTGTCTGTCACTCTGCAGCATTCCTTAAGTTCCGCTTTCCCCAACGCTGGGGGCATGGGCTGCGGTCATTGGCACTGAAGAACTTACAGTAGGGCTTTGACCAGTACACTCCATTTAAGAAGTAAATTTAGAACTGGGCAGTAGTGGTGCACACCTTTAATCCCAGAACCGGGGAGGTAGAGGCAGGAGGATCTCTGTGAGTTCAAGGCCAACCTGATCTGTAGAGCCAGTTCCAGGACAGCCAAGGTTACACAAAGAAACCCTGTCTCAAAAAAAAAGAAAGAGAGAGAGAGAGAGAGAGAGAGAGAGAGAGAAGGAAAGAGGGCTGGAGAGATGGCTCAGCAGTTAAGAGCACTGACTGCTCTTCCAGAGGACCCAGGTTTGATTCCCAGCAACCACATGGCAGCTCACAACTGTCTGAAAATGCAGTTCCACAAGATCTGACACCTTCACACCAATGCACATAAAGTTAAATAAATCATTTAAAAAATTTTTTAAGAAAGAAAGAAAGAGAAAAGGAGGTAGGAGGAGAGGGAGGGAAGGAGGGAGGAAGGAATTTAGGGCTAGAGAGATGGCTCAGTGGGTAAAAGTGTTTGCTGCCTGCTACATGACCTCAGTCCTCAGGACCCACTTGGTGAAAGGAGAGACTGGCTCCCACAGGTTGTCGTCTGAGCACCCACCACCCACGCAATCATTCAATCAGTAAATAATTATTGTGATTTTAATGCATCCAGATGTAATAAAAAGAAAGCTGAGAAATGTTTGTGGGGTCAGAGTGATGGCTGAGCTGTTAAGAGCACCTGCTGCCCTTGCAGAGGGGCTGGGTTTGATCCCCAAAACACATATGATGGCTCACCACCCTGTAACTCCAGTCCTGGGGATCTGGATCTGTCTTCCGGCCTCTGTGGGTACCGCACACAAGTGGTGCATAAACATGCATGCAGACAAAACACCTATACACACAAAATAAATCATTTTAAAACATGTGTGATTAAAGAAAGAATAGTCGGGGCACTGTGGTGTACGTCTGTAATCCCGGCACTTGGGGGGAGGGCAAAAACAGGAATTTAAGGTCACCTTCAGCTACATAGGGAGTTAGAGACTAGACTGGGCTACAAGAGCCCCTATCCCAAAAAAAATCACAATCTCTAAGAAAGAGTTGTTAGCTCTGCGACCTAGCTATAAGATTTGGTTCTGGGTTGTTGGGTTTTTTCCCCTGGATTTCGTCACTAATGCAATTGATGGAGAGAACAAAAGGAAATTTCTGTTATTCCACTCTGAGCAAATGCTATGAACTTGTCACCCAGGGGACTCACGGGGTTTCAAAGCCATCAAAGCAGTTAAGCAAAAATAAATTTGTAACTACCGTCTAGAAGCTGCTGAAATTCCAAGACCCGCCGCTAGGTGGCGATGGAATCGCGGCTAAAGCACATGTGGCTCGCTACGATTCTTTCAGTGGTTTTAATAGCCCTCTTAATGTAATTGGTTTCTTCTGTATTCCTGGTTTTATTTTAGTTTGTGCGTTTGAAACTTCCTGTAGAAGGGTTCTGTGAGTTAACTGCCGCAAGGGGGCGACATTGTTTGAAGGCAGGGGGAAGCTAATGTTTACTGAAAACCCATTTGGGAGCCCGGGATATGGTTCAGTCTGTGTTTACCACTCAAGCACTCATGTAAAACGCTGGCCATAGTGGCAGACACGTAATCCTGGACTGGGGGCAGAGGCAGGAGAACTCCAAAGGCTCACTGGCAGCTAGCCTAACCTTACTGGTTGGGCCCAGGCCAGTAAGAGACGCTGCCTTAAAAAATACAAAGTAGGGTCTGACAGCGGTAGCCCACCCCTTGAGTCAGAGCACTTGGGAGACAGAGGAAGGTGGCTCTCCGAGTTCAAAGCCATCCTGGTCTACAGGTCTTCAGAGTGAGTTCCAGGACAGCCAGGGCTACACAGAAACCTTGTCTCGAAAACAGAAACACCAAGTAGACAGCTGCTAAGGAGCCATGCTTGAGGTTGATCCCTGGAACCCACCCACACCACACACCCTGCATTTGCATAAATTAAAAAGACGACTTAGGAATGCCTGGGGCTTTAAGGGCCAAGCAGCCACTGGCACAGCCACTCGTCCACACGTGGCTGCTTTCCTTTTCCTTCTGTTGCTGTGATTAGCGTCATGGCCCGAGGCAACTGGAGAGAAGAAAGGTCTCACACTTCCCAGGTCCCAGCCCATCCCTGAGGAAAGTCAGGGCAGGAACAGAAGCAGAAGTCACGAGGGAGGCTGCCTCGCGCTCCGAATTGTTCTCTGCTAGCTTTCCTGCACATTTCGGGTTACCCGAGGAACAGTGATGCCCAACAGTGGCCTGGGCCCTCCCACATCCATTCTCAATCAAGACAATGCCTCACAAGCTTAGCAGGTCTTCAGGTGAAGGTCTCGGGTGACTCTGGGTTGAGCCAATAAAACTAACCAGGAAAGTGGCCACGTGACAGTAAACCGGTGTAAACAGATGTAAACAGCTGCACCGTCCTAACATGGCTGACGCCTGGGCTCAGTCTTCGGCACAGGAGGAGAATGGCTGGCCCTGATCCAATAAGCTTTATTTATAAAACCACCAGTGGCCAGGGTCTAGGCCACAGCCTGGAGCTTCCCACTCAGGAGTTAGCGACCATTTGGTTTTTTTTTTTTTCTGTGGTTGTGTTAAACTGACCCCTGCAGCCTCTCGTTGGATGCCTTAGGCAGCTCAGGATGACGTCATTGGCCACCTACCAAAAAGTGAAGTCTGACCACAGCCTTCAGAGGGCGCGGCCTGAGACTGTGTGCGTGGCTTGCACGAACAACTCGTCTGCGGAGTCAGTCTGGCTTGGTAGCAAGCCCTGCCACATGTTATATGGTGAGCATGAGTGAGTTACGCGGGCTCGGGCCCCACTCGTTTGTAGAGTAGTGCTCAGACCAATGTCAACAATGGCTCCTGCCTTGTAGGGGTGTAGTGCTCAGACCAATGTCAACAATGGCTCCTGCCTTGTAGGGGTGTAGTGCTCAGACCAATGTCAACAATGGCTCCTGCCTTGTAGGGGTGTAGTGCTCAGACCAATGTCAAGAATGGCTCCTGCCTTGTAGGGGTGTTGCCAACAGGGACAGCCTCACCCTGTAGTGTCCTTGCCGGGGCTCCAGCCATCCAGAATCAACCTAAAACTCTGCACCACTGTGAGCTCACTTGCCTAAACCATGATCGCGTGCTGGGGAAGCGCCTGGGCTCCTAAGAGCTCGGCTCCCAGATTTCACATAACAGTGCCAGCTGTGGTGGACGGTTGTGATCCCAGCCCTGGGCTAGCAGAGACAGGTGGATCCCTGGGGCTCGGTGGCCAGTCTGGCCCAGTTGTGGACTCCAATGAGAGACCCAAAGAAGGTGGGCAGCATTCCTGAGGGTGACACGCTCACACAGTCACACTCGCGGCACACGTGAAAACACACTATTCAAGAGCAGGCCACTTGTTTGATGAGCGCTGCCTCCCCCAATTTGGACCTGGCATCCACTGAGTAAATGAGTTTGGGATGTCCCAGCCACTTAGATGTTTGTAATTACACTCTCCCCATTCATCTCTCAGCAAATACAAATTAAAAAAAAAAAAAATCAAGCAGCTGGATTCTGCAACTTCTTCCCAAGTAGAGAGCACAGTAAGGGAAGAGTAAATCTTGTGCAATAAACACGTCTCTATTCATGAAAATCTGCAAGAACTATCCACAGTGTTCCCATAGCGTGGGGAGTGGGAAGGGATGCTCAGGAATGCAGCCTGGCGCTGACACGTTGGAAATGTGTGCATAGGTTTGGGACGGCACTCATTTCCATCCAAATCCAGAAGGATGCAGAGCCATGGAGCTGTCAGCTTCTAAGTATGTAAAATTAGAAATAAAATCATTTTTAAAAATTATAAGGAAGCCAGGTGTAGGATGTAATAGTGCTTGCCTTTAATCCCAGGACTAGGGAGGCAGAACAGGCAGATCTCTGTGAGTTGGGGACCAGCCTGGTCCTGGAACTTGCTCTGTAGACCCGCTGGTCTCGAACTCACAGAGATCCTCTTGTCTCCACGTCCCAGGTACTGGGATTAATGCAGATCCTATTCAAGACATTTAAATGGCTCTTTTTAAGAATCCCCGTTTATCCCCATGTCTGAGTTTTCTAGCGGTGGATCTGTGACGCCATCACAGTGATGACTCGGTTTGGGTACCTAAAAGAATCCCAAGGGCTGCTGGGAACTGTGGTGAGGAGGGGCCAGCCTCCTGCCTTGCTATAAGCCATTTTCTGGTGTGTGCTTCGGGGGGATCCTTGTTGATCCTTGTTGTCGTTTTTAACCTGTTCTTATGGAAACTCACCTTGTGTTGACAGGGGACGCCCCCTTCCAGTGCTGGCTCTGTAGTGCCAAGTTCAAAATCAGCTCCGACTTGAAAAGGCACATGCGCGTGCACTCGGGGGAGAAGCCCTTCAAATGCGAGTTCTGCAACGTCCGCTGCACCATGAAGGGGAACCTCAAGTCGCACATCCGCATCAAACACAGCGGCAACAACTTCAAGTGTCCGCACTGCGACTTCCTGGGGGACAGCAAATCAACCCTGCGGAAGCACAGCCGCTTGCACCAATCGGAGCACCCAGAAAAGTGCCCGGAGTGCAGCTACTCCTGTTCCAGCAAGGCTGCCCTGCGTGTGCACGAGCGCATTCATTGCACTGAGCGCCCGTTCAAGTGCAACTACTGCAGCTTCGACACCAAGCAACCCAGTAACCTGAGCAAACATATGAAGAAGTTCCACGCGGACATGCTCAAGACCGAGGCCCCCGAGAGGAAGGACTCCGGCAGGCAGAGCAGCCGGCAGGTGACCAAGCTGGATGCCAAGAAGACGTTCCACTGTGACATTTGCGACGCCTCGTTCATGCGGGAGGACTCGCTCCGCAGCCACAAGAGGCAGCACAGTGAGTACCACGACAGTAAGAACTCGGACGTGACGGTCGTGCAGCTTCACCTTGACCCCAGCAAGCAGCCGGCTGCACCCCTCACTGTGGAGCATCTCCAGGTCCCCCTCCAGACCAGCCAGGTGTCTCAGTTCAGCGAGGGGAGGGTCAAGATCATCGTGGGGCATCAGGTACCTCAGACTAACACCATCGTCCAAGCCGCTGCGGCGGCTGTCAACATCGTGCCCCCCACCCTGGTAGCCCAGACCCCAGAGGAGCTCCCGGGGAATGGCCGCCTGCAGATCCTACGCCAGGTCAGTCTCATCGCCCCTCCTCAGCCTTCTGGGTGTCCTGGCGAAGCAGGGGCCCTGAGTCAGCCAACCGTTCTGCTGACCACCCATGACCAGACCGCGGGGACCACCCTGCAGCAGAGTCTGATCCCTACCACCCCAGCTGGGACCCAGGAAGGCACAGGAAACCAGACGTTCATTGCCAGTTCGGGCATCACTTGCACGGACTTGGAAGGCCTTAACGCTCTGATTCAGGAGGGAACTGCAGAAGTGACCGTGGTGAGCGATGGAGGCCAGAGCATCACGGTGGCCACCACAGCGCCCTCTATATTCTCCTCTCAGCAAGAACTGCCCAAGCAGACTTATTCCATCATCCATGGGACTGCACACCCTGCCCTGCTCTGCCCGGCTGATTCTATACCAGACTAGTACTTAAGATATTCAAAACATTTTGGAGGGGAGGGATGCTATCAGAGAAACTACAAGAAGAATGTTGTGAGAGGCTCCTCGTAATTGTATTTTATATGGTTTATGTAATTTTTTAACAGAGAAACAACATGGAGACCATCCTGATTCCTCCTTCAAGCTGTTACATTGTCTGAAAGGTTACCACTGCTGATTCCAGTAGGAGTAGGAGCTCACTGCAGGAGGGACTAGATGTGTTTGTTTGTTAACAGTTTGATTTCCCATCTTCCAGATTTGATTCTCCAACTAGAATAAAGGTGTTTGGGTTTGGGGTTTCCATCGCACTCGGTTTGTATAGTAGGTGATGGTACTTAGCTTCCCGGGAGCCCCTTCTGGAATTACAGACACATACAGAGTCCCGAATACTTGTGTAGTGCATAGATCCCTATTAGTCCCTGCATAGATCCAAATCTATATCAGACCATTTCTAACAAGAGTGTTGGAGATGGGGATCTGAAGGGAATAGTGTCCTAATGCCTGGTTAAAATATGTTCCCTAGTGATCGTTTGTTACAGCTCCACATGGGTATAGGATTGTGAAGTTTTTAACTTATTTTGTAAAGAGTGTGTGTGTGTGTGTGTGCGCGCGCGTGTGTGTGCATGAGAGTGGGTACCCACAGGAGCCAGAAAGGGCGTCAGATCCCCCTGGAGCTGGAGTTACCAGTGATTGTGAGCTGGCTTGGGTTCTGGGAAGGAAACTTGAATCCGTGCACATACTCTTTGTGATCATCTCCCCAGCCCTGTGGACTCTTCTGTCATCACGGGGGACTTGGCACAGCTGGGGTCTGGGGTCTTCTCTTAAATACTTCCCTTCTTCAGCTATGTCTAATACATTCCATGTCTCAAGTGACCCAAACTCCTTCGTCTTTATTTTTGTTTTTGTGACAAGGTCTCACTCTGTAGCCCAGGCTGGCCTCAAATTCAAGACCCAGAGGATTGGCCTTCTGCCTCCTGGGATTACAGGCCTGCATGCTGCTCGCCTCATGTGGCTCCGGCCCAACTGTGCTTTGAAACTGCAGTCCTCATGACGGTCCTGACATTTCTGTTTAGATGTAAACAGAGTGTAGGATCCTAGTAAGGTTTGACTGGGTTTTCCAGGATGTGGTTTCTTAAATGTCTATCTCTGTTCAGGGTCTAAATGAGAGAAGGATTACGTTGTTGAGAAGCGTGAGCCACACTGAGAAATTCAAATTTCCTTTTTGAATTGAAATGACGTTTGGTCACTAGGTGGTGCCAAAGAGAAAGCCAGAAAGACCAAAGATGTTAAAAGTAGGAATAGTGTCTCCGGTTTCCAGGGTAGGACTGTCGGTCACTATTAAAAAACAACAAAAAAATAAATTTTAGGGGTCAGGCGATGGTGGTACACACCTTTAATCCCAGTGCTCTTGGGAGGCAGATCTCTGTGAGTTCGAGGCCAGCCTGGTCTACAGATCGAGTTCCAGGACAGGCTCCAAAGGTAGACTGAGAAACCCTCTGGGGGGTGGGGGAAAGTGGTCATGCAACCATCTCACTTTTATATGAAGAGATGATCTGTTTGCGATAATAAACTGGGGAAATACAGAACACAGTGGTGTTTGAAACTTTATGGTTCTGGGCTAAGTCAATAGTGTGCTTGCCTAACATGCAGTAATATCTGGGCTCCGTTCCCACATCCACCCCACGGTGGCACTTGTGAGCTCATGGTCTCAGTGGTCTGGAATTAAAGGTAGGACGATCACAAATTCAGGGTTAACTTCAAGCAGGTAACAAGTCAAAGACGAAGCTGGGGGATGGGGGAGACAGGATAACACACCCTTAAATGCAAAGTTCGAGTCCCCTGGTGAGCCTTAGAGCTGGGCTTGTCTCCTTCCTATGTTTTCTGGGTTATTGATATCTGAGCAGATTACTTTTTTTTTTTTTTTTTGGTTTTTGGTTTTTCAAGACAGAGTTTTTCTGTAAACTAGGCTGGTCTCGAACTCACAGAGATCCACCTGCCTCTGCCTCCCGAGTGCTGGGATTAAATGGATGTGCCACCACTGCGACCTGAGCATAATTATTACTTCTGGGTCTCTGCTCTTCGTCAGAAGTTCTCTATTTTGATATGAGCAATAATAATGACTTACTTATTCTAATGTATGTAAAATACAGGAAATCTCATAGTGCACAGATTAGAAACCCATCAGCCCACTTCCCCCACATTCATACCCGGAGTCGTATGTAACCTTCGCCTAACATCACATACCCAGAGACGTAAATCCTGTATCCATCTCCTCACGTCTCATACCCGGAGACATAAATGCTGTATCCTTCGCCTAATGTCTCATACCCGGAACGTAAATGCCGTACTCTTCCCCTAACGTCTCATACCCAGAAACATAAATGCGTCTTATACCCGGAAACGTAAATGCCGTACCCTTCTCCTAACTTCCAGCTATCTTGCTGTTTGTTTCAGGGAGTTGTTAGAAGGAAATGAAATCCGGGAGCTAAATCCATATTCCTTAGTTTTTAAGTAGTTCAAATTTGGGAAAGGATTTTGGTTCTGCTCCCTAATGTTAATGGTTTGGGTCTGAGAATGAGACTGGGAAAATGTGTGGGGTTTGTAATTATTGATTTTGTGTGTATGTAGGTGGGGGCTCTTCCCATGTGTCTCAGCACCCAGTGGTCACGTCAGACAACAATTTGCAGGAGTCAGGTCCCTCCCTCCGAGGTAGGGAAAATCCAGTCAGGTTACAAAACTAGGCAGCAAGTGCCTGACCTACGGAGCCACCTTGCCTGCTCTGGTTTGGTTTTCATTTGGGTTTTGTTGTTCATATTTTTTTCTTAAATATTTATTCACTTTTGTTTTATATGTATATGTGTTTTGACGGCATGCACATCTGTGTACCGTGTGTATGCAGTACCCTTGGAGGCCAGAAGAGGGCGGGAGCCAAAGTCTGGAAATATAAATACAGGTAAAATGGGTTTTCAAGCCCTCCTGAGCTTATGTAAGTACTGACGTTCCGTCCTCAGAGGCATGAGCAATCCTCTGCCTATGCCAGCCTCGTGTTCCCTCAGGCCAGGAGTGATTAGGTCACCTTTCCAAACCATGGGATCTCCTCTGGAAGGACACTAATCCATCTAGTAGGACCCCAACCTCATGACCTAATCACGTCCCTTCCAACATAGGATTTTGAAGAAAAACAAACACCGTACCGCAGGGCAGAGGAGAGGGCAATTAGATCATGTCGAGCCGACCCCACAAGCCCCTCATGCCTGCTCCCCACTTTTTCCCTTGACAGCCAAGATTATGACTTTCTGTCTCTTTAAGGCTGTGCTGTATGGAGTGGGCAGTGTTTGTTTTTTGTTTTTTTTTTAATTTTTATTTATTTATTATGTATACAATATTCTGTCTATGTGTGCCTGCAGGCCAGAAGAGGGCACCAGACCTCATTACAGATGGTTGTGAACCACCATGTGGTTGCTGGGAATTGAACTCAGGACCTTTGGAAGAGCAGGTAATGCTCTTAACCTCTGAGCCATCTCTCCAGCGCTGTTTGTTTATTTTTGAGACAGGGTCTCAGGTAGCCCAGGTTGGCTTTGGATTCTCTATGTAGCCAAGGATAGCCTTGAACTCGTGATCCCCACTGCCTCCATCTCCTGAGTGCAGAGAGAAGAGCTGTGAGGCACCCGTTCCTTCCATGCTAGGGGTAGAACCAGGGCTTTGTGCATGCCAGACGAGCGCTGTACCAACTGTGCTGCAGCCCCAGCCCAGGCAGTCACTTTACAAAATTCTTTATTATGTGGGAGTGTGGGGTACCTGCATGCCACAGTGTGTGTGTGCAGGTCAGAGGACACCTTTGTGGGGTTGGTTCTCTCCTTCCGCTTTGGGTTTTCTGACGATTGAACTCAGTGTGTCAGGCTTGAGGGGCAAAGACTTTTACAAAGCCCCTAACTACCTTGCCGGCCCGGCCCCCCATCTATTTCTTCCTTATTTAAAATAACGTATGGATGAGAGTGTGAACCGATAAAGCCCGCGTGACACTCTGGGGACCTTGTTATAAAGCAGAGTCTGATCTCTGCTTCTCTTGTTTGAGCCCCCCGGGGAGCTGGTCCAGGGCAGATTCAGGGTATGGAGAAGCGTCTATGCATGGACCGAGAGTCCGTGCAGGAATGTACATACCTGCATCGCTCATAATTACCACGCCACAAAGCGTCCTTTGGCAGAGCAAGGCGCACAGTGTGGTGTGCTCACATGCTGGATTACGGGGGAATGAAAACAGACGCGACTGCCTGTGGTAACATGCTGAATCACACGCTTCCAGATTCCAGGCACGGAAAACTCTCAATGAAGAAGGCAAGACTGTGCAGCATATCATTTAGGTGATGAAATTTATAAGTGAAGCTTACAAAAAAAAATCAGAGGTAGTGGAAGAGGCTGGCAGAGGAGGGAGAGCTGATGGGTTTGCCGAATCCAAGAATGTGCCACGCCTTGAGACGGGAGGGGGTCTCAAAGGCGGGTTAGGCTTCCGAGCCGGGGTTGTCCTGAAATGGCATGGTTATCATTTTTACATGTAAGCCAAATTTTATTGTTTAAATTGTTGAAAAATTTAAAGCCCGAAGAGGCAGCTATTACAGAGGACGCGAGTTCAGTTCCCAGGACCCATAGTATGCTGCTCCCCATTGCCTGTAACTCCAGCCTCAGGAGAATCAAAATTTATCAACTTCAGGCCAGGGTGATTGCTGCACAAGCAGAGGACCTAGCTTGGGTCTAAGTGTCTGTGTAATAATGAGCATGGTCCATGGACAAGCCTGTATCTCCATCATCTGGGAGAGGAGAGAGGAAAGAGGAGCGGACTGCCAGGGCTTGCTGCCTGCCAGCCTGACTTCAGGTTCAATGACAGCAAAAGCGACAGACAGCCCAGGACACCTGGTGTTCTCCTCTAGCCTCTGGGCATGTGTGACCTGGACACATATGTTCAGACATACCACACACACATACATACACACTCAGAATTATCGGCTAGATTTAAACAAACAAAAAACAAGTTGATAGGAAAACTGGGTGAAAGCTAACAACCATGGCTCCTGAGCATGGGCCCTGCGGTTCGTTTTCTATAATTTTTAGTAATGATCCTTGAAATCAAGTCATTAAAACTTGGTAATAAACTCAGTAATAAAATTTAGTAATAAAAGTAGAACTAGAGCTTTGACCAGATGTCAAGCAGGCTCGAAACCCAGCACTGAGCACTGAGGTAGGAGGATGGCTGGGCTACATAGGACACCCTGTCAGAAAGAAACGAGGGAGAAGAGAAGGAAGGCAGACAGACAGACAAACTGGCTAGAACTTTAGATAGACCTTATAAAATAGTATAACATCCTTTTAAAATAAAACTAAATGCTGGATATGGTGGCACGTGCCTTTAAATTTTTTATTTTTATTTGATGTATATGGTTGTGTCCCCTGCACGTGTCCATGCACCACATTCCTGGTACCCATGGAGGCCAGAAGATGCCATCAGATCCTCTGGAAGCAGAGTCCCAGGTGAGGGTGAGCAATCACTGGGAATCGAACCCAGGTCCTCCGAAAAAGTGGCAGGTGCTCTTAGCTGCTGAGCCATCTCCCCAGTCCAGGTGGTGCACTCAGCATGACCTATACATGCCTAAGTGGACTGGCCACTGGGAAATGAAAGGGAACTTTAATCTTGGCACTCAGGAGGCAGAGGTAGACAGATCTCGGTGAGTTCAATCCAAGTGAGCCTGGTGCAGGTTGTGAGTGCCAGGCCAGCCAGGGCTGCATAGTGAGAACCTGTCTCAATAAACAAATAAATAATAATCAGTTCTTGCCATTTTATTTGTGGAAAATATAATTTCCTGATGCATGATTAATAAAAACTCAGAGAGAGAAATTGGTGTTCAACCTAAAAAGTAAAACAGCCAGCCACTGGCTCTTACCTTAACCTCAGTCCTGAAAATAGCGATCCTGCCTCCAGGAATCTCACAATGAGACTGTGGTTGAGAGCTGTCTCCTCCCGTTTTATAATCCTCACTAGGGCTGGCATTAAAAGTATGCACTATCAGGATTAAAGGCATGCACTGGATGGTTTCCATGGCAACTAGTGTGGCTACTGGGATTAAAGGTGTGTGTCACCACTGCCTGGTCTGTAAGGCTGACCAGTGGGGCTCTTTTGCTCTCAGACCTTAAGGCAAGCTTTATTTATTAAATTACAATTGAAAGCCAGGCGGTGGTGGCGCACGCCTTTAATCCCAGCACTCGGGAGGCAGAGGCAGGCGGATCTCTGGGAGTTCGAGGCCAGCCTGGTCTACAAGAGCTAGTTCCGGGACAGGCACCAAAGCTACAGAGAAACCCTGTCTCGAAAAACCAATAAAATAAAAAATAAAATACAATTGAAATGCCTCTACATTTCCCCTTTCCATCTAAAATAAAAAAGGCTATAACTAATATAAGAAAAACC